CTTTACCACAACTAAAGGCTGCTCCCAAGAGCCAGCTGAGTGCATCAAACCATTAGCAAATTCTTCCTTCCAAAGCAAATAAAAACATAAAAAGTCTAGCTTCTGCTTGCAAAATATCCGTTTGTCATTAATAAGTATCAAATCAACTTCTACACGCAACAAATGACGTGTCCTGGAACTGTTCATAAGACACACGGTACCATTTGCCTCCTTATTTGGAAGCAGGAGACAATGCAGCGAGCTTTTATAGCTATCCTTACCTTTTCTCTTGGGACAGGTAAGTTCCAGAGGGATAGAAAGCATTGGGCGAATTCTGTTCTCACCTCTGTGAGAAGGGGTTCACCTGTGATAATGATGTTTTTCATATCCACAGCTCCATAACCGTTCTCTTTTGGTGCATCTCTCTCTCACAGGTTGAGAGCTTGCCTGATCCTTTTCAGATTCAAGTGGAATTTTCTTTTCTAGCAGGGGCTGCTCCGAAGTACGTCTGCACCTACTACGATGTTGTCGAATACCTGAACATTTCCTCTCACAGCAAGCTGCACACACACATACTGCCCAAGTCAAACTCGAAGGAGCCTCTGGAAGTGAAGATGGATTTTATGCTGGTGGCTATTCTTTCTGTGGTAAGGACCTGAAACTCCTATCGAGCCTTTGTAACAGAGAACAGGGTGATTGGGGTCAGAGTCTTCTGCCAGACAGGGCTGGGCCAGCAAGGCCATGGGGATGAGAATCAGCCCCTTCCACTTCTTCAGCTTTCTTCTGTTTGAAAGCATTTTTGGAAGATCTGGAATATGTTCTCCCACCTACTTCCAGGGAAAAGTCACAGGCACAAGCAGCCTGCTTTATAGAAGGCCTCTAGAAAGCAACTGTGCTGAGTGCCTGAACCGAGCAATGCAGTTGCAGGGCACTGGCATGTAAATGTTAATAATAATCAATTATTTTTCAAACCATTGGATCATACACTCCCTCTTCTCTTCAGCTGCAGGACCAAGATCCTTGATCCCTCCTCCTGTGCTGCGTTTCTGCAACCTGTGCTATCCACTGCAAGAACAACAGGGGAGAGCTGCTGGGCTCTGCATTGGATGCACCTAAGAAAATCAGCTAAATATCTTCCTTCTTCTTTCTCCAGGTCGAAAAGCTCCAGACAGTCAGTTTTTACATCGTGTTGAACCTGGTAGGTCCCTCCCTCGAGAGCGTTTCTCTCCCGTGATGCCCAGCACGATGGCTGGTGTCAAGCCCAGCACTCATTTCTCTCCTGCACCTTCTTCCCCCAGGAGTGGAAAAACACTTTTGCAACTTGGGACCCGCAGGATTTCTGTAACATTTCCAAAGTCATTCTGCCCACGGATGCGTATTGGTCTCCTCCCATCTTCATTTTAGAGCGGTAGGTTCCCCTTTCATTTTTATCCACTGGTTTGAGAGAAACACAATGGATGCAAACTGTTGGTGTTATTGCAGGAAATGGGATAAATTCATATGGTTAAAAGTTGTTCCCATGAGCTCTCTGTAACTAAGAATTTAGATTTATGGTCACTGCAAGTTTTTACAAAGTGCTTTGTAGCTCTGTAATTCTGTAATATCTCCAGAAATGTCCTATCTGGGCTGTAAAGCTGAGGAAGCATCAGAGACCAGCAGTGTCATGGATTGGAACAACCCTTAGCAGTTTTTTGTAAGATAGAGAATAGAGCACTGCGGGTCTGGCAGAGCCAGCATTGAGCCCCTGCCCCAGGTGGGAGTGGGAAGCAGAAAGGAGAGACCAAGAAGATTCCTTAGGAGATGCAGGGGGAAAACTAACTGTCTTGTGGGCGAGTTCAGCTACTACAAACCTTAGCCTGGAGGCACTCACCGGCTCTTCTTCAAGCCGCAGGCTTCCTCTCCTCACTACTACCTCCCACAGCTGGGTGACAGCGTGGAGCCCCCCCACAGAAGGATGCTTACAGCCCAGGGTTTTGCAGGACTGAGGAGCACTGCAGCATCTTGGAGCTCGGCCGCTCTCCACTTTTGTTTCCTCCAGAGTGAATGGACAAAACTCAAACGTGGATTATATGACCGTCATGCACAACGGCAGCTTCAACTCCACCCAGCCCTTCCAGGTTACCTTAACGTGCAGCTTGATGATCCTCAAGTTTCCCTTTGACACCCAGACGTGTAACTTGACCATAGCTTCATTTCTCTACCCAGGTACAGCGGCAAGCTGAGTTTTACCATAGCTGGGCTAAATTTGCAGGAGGAGGAACAGATGAGATGGACCCTGGGTTCCTTTAGCAGCACCACACGCTCACACTTGGTTAGTGGGGTTGAGGTCATGTAACACCAGGGAAAATGAGCTGAATCACTCATTCTGTTCTGGCACGTTTCCCAGCAACATCTCTGGAAGCATCTGGATGTTCTGTGGCAAGACATTCCCCCACCCCAGGACTGGTCTCTATGAACCAAGGGACTAGCAAGCTTCTTGCAACAGGGCTACTTGTTCACATAGGATTTTGCAGGACTGATCTTTAAACATACCTGAGAGCCATGGAAATGAGAGGAAATTAAGGACAGTTTCAGGGATCCAAACTGCAGTGAGCATTCATCCCAACAAGAAGGGTTGAAAAATAAGCAGAGGCCTCACAAAACCCTCCAGCTCCCATCCACAAAGGACAACTGTCCTAATTCCCCAGAGATTTCCCCTCTGATCCACATTCCCTGAGGTCCACACAAGTCTCTTCACCAGAATCCTTTTTAATTTCTCCCTGATGGGCTAAGAAACCCCAGCGGTGTGAGAAACATTGCCTTTCCTCACCTGCACACACTCTTGGTTGGGAGGGAAAGGGACAGGAAATAACTCACCTCTAATAAATACCTAAATTTTGCAACTTCTCTCCTCTTCTCCCTCCTGCCCAAGCAGTAACAGACCTCATCATGAAGACGAGACGGACGCCAGCCGAGATGATGAAAGACAGCCAGAGTTACTTCCTGACTGATGGAGAATGGAAGTTCACCAACTTGAGCATCATTGAATACATGGAAGAGCTGGATGATGGAGAATTTTCTATGGTCACCTACGTGGTACAGAGTACTTTCATATTATATTGCACTGATTTGCCACCAAAAAAAAAAAAAAAAAGTATTAAACAAGATAATTTTCTACATCAGGGAACAAGCATTCACCCAACACAGTAAGTTATCTCCTGCTCACCTAAATTTTGTCCATCTTCTTCAACAGATTTCCATGGAGAGACGACCCACTCTCTATATTTTGAACCTGATCCTCCCAACATGCGCCCTGTACCTGCTGGATATGGCTGTGTTGTTTGGACCCAGCTCTCTCGAGGAGAAAATCAATTTCCAGATTGCCATTATCCTCGGCAGCTCCATGTTAGCTGTGATTCTCAACAACATCCTTCCAACTTCCTCCAACAAACCACCCGTAATAGGTACGCATCTTTACTGAATAAAAATGAACTGATTTTTACACAGATTGTAACTCTAAGGGAGGTCTTTGGGCGTTTACAGACACGTTCATGACCACGGAAGTCACAACCAGCTAAGCTTTGTCAGCTCAGCTTGCTGGAGTCAGTAATTTCCCCTGTTCCCCACCAGACAACTGAACACAGACAGGATTACAGATTCAAGAAAACGATGCCAATTATCAAGGGCTTTCTTTCTTTTCATATTGTTCTGCAGTGGTGTTCTTCTTAGGCACCTTCCTGCTCATGGTCATGGCTGTGTTAGACACCTTCTTCCTGTTGCACCAGCACCACAAATCCCTACGCTTAGGCAAGGTTCTCAGAAGCTCCCAGCAAGGTAAAGCAACCCATAACCTCTTAAACCCAGTAGGTCAGGTTACCTGCATTTTACTGCAGGCTCCTCTGAGCAAGGGTGGGTTTCCTCAGGGCCACCAGTGCCCCAGGCAGTATCAATCATGGTAGCCACCCACCAACCCCCCCCAGTATGGACACGTGCTATTTGCTCTTTGCAGATGTGGACACGGAGCTGGCGATGACAGCCATGGACAACCCCCTCGCCAAGCCGGGCGCCCACCTGCTGACCCCTCCCCGGGCAGCCCAGGAAGGGGGCCAGCCAGCCAAGACCCAATGGCAACCGCAGAGGCAGGACCTATTTCTGCCCGTTCTGGAGAAGCTGCTTCTCTACAGTCACTTCTTCCTGTCTCTGTTTTTTTTTGCTGTTATTTCTATAAAATGGAGCAGCTAGAGACCAGCTCTGCAGGCTGCTCCTTCAGTCTTTCCCCACTGTATTGCTTCTAGCCCTCCACTGTAAATTTTTTTTCCTGCTTCATTCAGAGAGCTGCAGTTGTTTCAGTTGCCTAAATAAAAAAAACCACCACACAAACCCATAAGGCATGAGATCTGCATGCTTAGTGCTTTGTGCTCTAGTTCAGTAGAACTATGTATGTTCTTAAAAGTATTCCGTGGGCTAGCAAGGTGTTTGAATAAAACAATTGTGAAATGGGGGGAATCATACATTCATTTTATCAGTCTGTAATTCTTACCGCAAACATGACCACCAGAGGAGGGAGTTAATGCCCTTCTCTTACAGAGAGGTTTCCATTCTGGGGAAAGGTGTTTAAGAATTCCATCTCAGATAAACAAATAGTACAAACGCTTCAGACTTGAATTGTTTAATTCTGTGAGCTTCAGCGAGACCCACATCATTCAGAAAACCAGGGCAGAGAGACTAATAGGATCACCAGGATTAACGGGGCAATACCTGGGATGTTTTTAAAAAAATTTAAAAATAACTTTATTTTTTTTACATGTACCTCAATACGCCTATGCTCCAACTCCTTTTGCAATTGGCTGCACCTAAACCATCACAACCAACCTAGAAAACAGCCCTAGACCTCGGCCTGTAGAGCTCCTGAGACTTACCTCCCGCTGCATCGCAGATCACTACTAAATACACTCCAGCGTCTCAAAAGGCTTTATACATTCAACCTCTCAGCAACCACCCGCCTGCAGTGGCAGAAGGACCACATTCGCCACATGACATGGTTACCGAGGTGAACAGGCAGTTTATTTGCGCTACAAAAGATGCAATAGGACTCAGTTTTATCAGCAGGTCTAGCTGGGATCTTGGTCCTTGCTACAAGAACAAGCTCACGGGTAGAAAAGACAAAATCCAGGAAAATTGGGCTATTTGCAAGTTAGCACATTGTTCCACGTTTCTCAAAATCTTGCAACCTCGTGTCTAAGATCTAAGCCACAAACAGGAGGGAAAGCACTTTATTTAAGAGATCTGAGAGTCTGACAGTCGTTAGACAAACCGCTTCCAGACAAGTTTACAGATCAGCAATCGGTTTGTGGGGCCAGTACGGATATTTCTCCTTGTCCAGTTTGGTTTCAGGGAAGGCTTCATGCAAGTCTTCGAATGTCATCTGTTCAAAGGGAATCATGCTTCTGAGCTTCTGAAGCTTGAAGTGTGAGAAGAGACAAACACGTTACAAGTCACTTGTCAGCAAGAAAGAGCAAAGCACACACAAGGAAGAACAAGGTGTGTGCCAGGCTGTGTTAAAGAGAATAGTCACTAAGCAAAGTCCAGACTTACCTGTTGCTCGTACTGGGTGATACGGGCTTTGGAAGCCTGCACATACTCAGCAGTGCTCTTTGCCTGCAGGAAAGCAGAGGATGTGGTGATTATAGTTATGATAAAGGCAGTGACATAGAGTAAACCTGCAACCCCATGCTTTAAGTTGGCATTAAAATTCATCATCGTTACACTAGGTAAGTGGACAGAATCTTGATCAAATCCCCAGCAGCCAAACCCTTCCATGTGCAGAGATCCTCTTGCTTAGCCCAAAGCCAGAGACATGTGCGAAGACCAGAGCCATGCTCGAGCTCAGGCTGCCTGTGCAGATGCACGTACAGAACACCCCTTCCCTCCCTCCCCTTCCCATCTTCACGGAAGTCAGAGACAACCCCGGCATTAGGGAACAGTTTAAACACTTACAGCTTCCTGCTCTTGGGCATCAATTTTGGCAGTTTGTGTATCCACTGGCTCAGGAACCTTTAGTGCACTGAACTGTAGATCAAAAGAGAACATTTTTTATATGGTTTGTTTGATTGAAATAGTCCTTCACCCCAAGGTCATTCTCCCTAGAGGCAGGGGAGCATCCCCTCCTTTCTCCCTAGGATACGCTCACAACAGCGTAAGTTAACGAGCTTTCTAAAACTGATCACTGCAGCTTGACTACATCCTTCACAGGCAGCACTGCTCACCTGTGAGCTTAAAGCAATCTATTCTGCCCCACATACCACCACTGGCACACATAACGGTACACACATTCACCACAGCACTGCAGAGAGCAAAGCACAGCATTGTAAGGAAGCAAGGAAGTCTCGTACCAAAGGTTTATCAGATCGCAGCCTTATTTCCCCCCAAGTCAAAGTTCCCAGATCCATCTGAGGTCGGTGGGTCCTCCCAGTCCTGGGAGGCCAATTTTCATAGGGCCAGTGACACCACACATCCCTCGGCAAAAGCCTCACTCGTGCTTTTCAATTCCTGCTTATAAAGAGGGTGGCAACCCCTGCAGGCCTGCGCTAGCTTTACACGCTTCGCAGGGCGCAGAGCTGCGCTTGCCACCTTCTTCCTTTCAGCGAGTTAGAGAAATACTTTGAATGTTTGCTTTAGGAGAGGCACTACCCGAATTCACTCCTGCAGCCAAAATAAATTATCAAGTTTTCTTTCACCAACTTTCTCACAGTGCAGTGCCACAGGTTTCCTCCTGGAAGATGGCACCAGAGCACCCTCCTCAAGGTTAGCAACACTGCTCTGCAGGATGTAAAGCTGTGGCATCTGCTAGCCAAAAGCAACCTCCTCTTCCAATTCTGGTGCTTTCCCCTCAACACCAAAGATGCTCCCCATTTAGAGCTCCAAGAAGAACAATACCTAGCTGGCAAAGAGACTGACCTTCTTCTGAAACTCATCCACCATGCCAGCTTTAGCAACAGTAGCCTTGTAGTAAGCCCAGTCGATGGTCGGGGGTTTCTCTGGCAGGGCAGCCAACCTAAAGAGACAGGGATAGCAGTCACAACCAGCACTAGAAGTAACCCCCCACTATTATTTGCTCTCTGCCACAGTTACTTTCCAGCGTGTCCACAGAGCCTGCTAAGCTCAGTTTAAATATTTTTAGGTCTGTCATTAGCCAACAGCAATGAACCACTTCTGCAAATCTCTCTTCCCTTGCAACAGACTTCACTATACAAACAAGAAGAGTTCAGCCTGCAGCCCTGCTCCACTTCAGACCGCTATATAGCATCTCTGGGTGCAGCCCTGTAAGAAAGTTTCAGCAGTTTCCACAATACTGAGCTAGAGGCCATCAGCAATGTTGGCTGTAACACCCAACAATACTTGTATCAAGCACCAGATGCCGAAGCATTTGAGAAGCCTCATGAATCTGTACAGCGTTTAACAGAATAAGAAAGCTTACAAAATGCTTTGACTCCTCTCACAGAACTGCTTTCTTACATTGCAGCTACTGTTTTAATCTGGGGAGAATGAAGTAAAGACGATTTGCCAAAAAAAAAAAAAAAAAAAAAGCCACCGGCTGTCTTGAAGGTGACCTCGTTTAATGCCTGTCCGGACACTTGAAGCAAGACAGCTGTTACCGACAGCGGCTCAAGGCGGTACCGCAAAGGGTGAACGGTTCAGCTGAGGGGCCCGCAAGCACTCACCGGGCCGACAGCGCGTCGCTGCGGGTCTTCAGGGCGTTGAACATGGCCCTCTGGTTCGGGGGCACCCTCTCGGCGAAGGCCGCCCAGTCAATGGCCTTGATGGCAGCTCTGCGGCTCGCCATGCTTCCAGGCTGCGCCCGGGAGAGAGGACACCGGGAGGGAGGGTTACGCTGGGGGGAGCGGGCAGGGCCCAGAGGGCGGCTCCAGGCCAGGGGTGCGGGCTGGGGCGGGAGCGGGACGCGGGGCACCGCTCCTCAGCCCAGC